CAGGGCATTGTGAAACAATCAAGAATACCGGGTAAACACGGAATTGTAAAACAACCTGGAATAGACAGGGCATTGTGAGACAATCAGGGATCGACAAGGAATTGTAAAACAACCAACAAATAAACAGGTCATTGTGAAACAATCAGGAATAGACAGGGCATTGTGGGAAATTTCCTAATTCAAAATTCATACAAATTTAATAATGCAAACCTAACATCCCCTTCAGTTTGCCATATCTTTCTATCAAATCACCCCTCTTTTGATCAAACACTAAATGGTCTGGCAGACCTGTGTGCACAAAACACATTATGTGCCTGACAGTGCGCATTAAACCTCCAAATAAAAATCATCAGGGCACAGTGAGACAATCAGAAATACACAGGGCACAGGAGACAATCAGAATTCTCCACAATCCAAAATGAAACTTGCTGTTTATTGTCCCCCATTAGGGCGTCAAGCGCTATAAGGTCATCAGTCTTATCTTCATGCTCAACCCAGTGTGTCTGTGACCCTGGCCATGTTGTAGTCCCACCCACTGAGGAATATCTGTGTTCTGAATTACAGCCCCAAACATGATGAGGACAGTTTCATTATTTACTGTCCCCAGCAGATGTATTTACACTACATACACACAATTACTCCAGGCGAGTCATGGGCAGAATAAAATGTATATGTTGGTACAGGCATGGCCTTCTACTATAGTTCTAGTTGGAAACATGGGTGCTGGCTCTGACAAACATGCCATACCAACACAGGGTCAGTACATAGAACCACCTCACAAAGGATGATTCCTGTGATCTTGACTGAGCATGCTGAAGGTCACCCACAACACCACCACTTATATCCCCCATCCAAACAATGATATATGTGTTTTAAATTTCATCTGCCTACAGTAACAGGGACATAAACATCTATTTTGAGTATATGACCATATGGAAAGTATATTAATCTTTGATACCAGCAATAACTATTTCAAAAACGTTTCCATGGGCTATATCATAATATATAAACCAGATATGATGTCCCCATGTGGAATTCAATGTAACTATGACAACATAGCTATTTTTGAATGTAGGTCACAATAACCTATTTATGTTTACATTAAGTTGTCATTACTTGTCAAATATAAGCAATAAAATCATATAAATACATGCTTCAGACTTACAAATATCAACAGGAAACAATTTAATGACAGATGTAAACACTTGAATTTCTTTCACACTGACCTTGACCTCTACAAAGGTCACTCACGTTCTTGTCCCCAACAGCACCTGGATCACGAATCACTGACCTACTTTTCTTCATGCTCTGACCTTGAGGGTTTATGTGGACATGACTGACAAATGTCAAATGTTGGCATAGTTTTAAACTTAAAATTTACCAATTTAATATCTTAATTAATGATTTTCACTAAAAGAAAGTGGAAATATTCAAACGCAGCACTGAACTTGCTATAAGACAGTTTTCCAAAGTAGTAATGTTTTAACAATTGTCAAATTTAAATCATTCACTGATTTCAAAAGATTATCTGACATGTAACCATTTGTTCACAGCCATATAAAAAAAATCAAATTTCAAAATTTCCATCTTACTTCAAATTGTGATTAATAGTGAAACATATTTCTAAATGCACAGTCCCACATTTCAGACTTCATGAGGAAATAGTCATGTTTCATCAGAGAAGTACCAAACATGAAAACTATACTCTCCACCAACATATGCTGCTGTTATCTACTTTACTTTTGCTATCTACATGCAGTAAAGGAGATTGACATTTAGTATCTGATATCATCTGTTTCTGAGGACAGTCAATACTGGGGATTCTAAATCACTGACCTTTGATATCATCTTATTTAAAGATAAAAATTAGGGCCTAGATTTTAAAGCTCTCTTAGCGCTAAGATGGTCGTAAGTTAATGTTAATGTATGGCACTTACGACTATCTTAGCGCTAAGAGAGCTTTGAAAATCTAGGCCCAGGAGCCTAGAACAATTCTTACTTTCAATTTCCTTGAGAAGAGGCAATCCAGATTTGCTGAAGTATTCTAGACTTGGGTTGGACTCCTTTTTTAATGTATTCAGTAGGGTCTGGCAGTCTGACAAGAACTGCAGTAGTTAAGGAGATGAATGTTGTTCCAGTGGTTCTCGATGGACGAAGGCCAGTACTGGAGATTTCTGGTAGACCGAGAAACCACATGCTCTACCACCAGGATTTCTCAAACCAAACAGAGATGGCTTATAGATACAAGTACCCAAGAGTACAAGCCAAAGCTAAAGGCCATGAGGAAGTATATCTTGTTGAGTTCTATATGTAAGCCGCAAATCATCCCAGTAAATGTGCAGCCAAGTTCCGAACACCTGCAGAAAGGTTTGTTGCTCATTCAATTCTTTATGTACTGGAATTCCTGTATTGTAGCCCGAGCTTCACATTGAAAAATGACCCTCTTTAGTAATCAGATTATACAACCATAATTAAACCCACAGCTAAAATTCAAGAATTGCACAAACTGAATGTATTTGGCACAATTTTCTCCACATTTTCAAACCGTATATAATCATAGATAAACCATGATGTCAACCAACAAATGGGTTAATTTCATGATATTTTAGCTCCAATAAAAAGACAAAACCTGCAGGTGTTTCAAGAACACCTCGAGGAACATGTGGATGATGAGGATGATTTTGATAAACTGAACTTGAATGACAAGTGATAAAAAACATGACAGATGCTACTCTGCATTCGCAGAATATGTCCATTCACAATATTTTCCAACCTTATAGAAACTGTGTGAGAGTCATGTGCATTTAAGTGGCTTATTTCCCTGTCAGGTATCTGACCTGTCTCTGGAGTCCAGACCAATATATCAGCCCTGTACAGACAGAACCACCTGACTGCTCTGTGGACATTGTAAATACAGACGTTCATGATGCACTTCTACCAAGGAACATCACTCCCAACAATTAACGATCTTAGGCTCATTGGCGTAAATAGGAGAAAATCAAGATTTTAGGCTCATGGGTTTTAATATACCTTGTACCCATTACATACAGATTATATGCAATGTTCCTAACTAAATGTAGCTTGTTTTACAACAGTGTGTACAACAAAACTGTATCAACCAGAATAGAGCAATCAAGAAGCAATTAGCTACACATTGCTACAGTTTACATCTTTGGTGTGGCATATAACCCATATGTCCTGGGTCCCATTGTACAAAACAACCTTAGTGCTAAGACTGCCTTTAGTCTATGTTAAGGTATGGGAGTTACGATCACCTTAGCGCTAAGACTACCTTAAGTCTATGTTAAGATATGGGAGTTACGGTCACCTTAGCGCTAAGATCGTTTTGTACGGTGTCCTCCCATTTGTGAGAACTCCCAGTTGTGAGACATTTTAATTAATGGTTCAGTGCACACAGGGGGTGCTTCCCCATCCCTACGATGAAAGTGGGAACAGCCCTGTTGCTGAAGAGTACCCGCAGGAGGCATAGTTCATTAATGAGTTAATTAACACAGAAGACATTGTTCGTTGAAGAGCATTTATTGTTTTCAATAGATACTGAAATACTGAAAAAGATTATCGTGAACTGGTGATATATTCTACTTGTTGAAGGCCTGCCACAATGGTGATTAAAGAGCAGTCAAAGGTTAATAAATACATTTGGATTAATTATAGTTACAACAGTTATTGCTAGATTTTTCAAACACGTAAATCTGAGTAGGTAAATTCATTTCTCTTTCAAATGATCACGAAGTTACCTACGCACAGTGTTTATTTTTTACAGCCATTTATCTGAGTAGGTTAATTACTTTATCTTTTCGAGTTTCATTAAGTTACCTCCACAAGATTCAGTTAAATAGCTAATCCATAATTAGATGGGGTTAATCCATTCTATCAGATAGGGGAGTAAGGTGTGTTTTCTTTGCTAATTACCTACTCCACTGTCTCACAACTGGGAGTCTCACAACTGGGAGTTCTCACAAATGGGAGTAGACCTTTTGTACAACAGCACCCAGGTCAGTATTAGCTGGACATCAACACCAGCATGTTACAGGAACTAGTGTGTAACTTAAATACATGATTACATTGTGTGTAACTTTAATACATGACTATTCTAAATAGTCCCTATTTACCATAGCATATCAACCTTTCAAGTAGGTCAATATTTACAAAGTAGCCTGAATGCTGCAAAATAAAATAATAAAATTTGATTGTTGGTCAGGTTTATCTGAAAGTAACCTCTAAAAATGATTTAAGAAATTCTGTTTCAAAGACAATAATTAAAAGTTAATCTGTTTTCCAACACTTGTGGATTTGAAGAACTTCTCGGGGTCAATGACAGTGAAACCCAAACTAGGATCTAATATAATACTAATGTAATTCAACAGTCAGTGGTGAGAAGTGGTGTCAAGAAGTGTATACCAACTGAGTTATAATAAGAATTTGTACAAGTGAGAAACATTTGGAAGATAAGCTGTGAGAGTAAATCAGCTGTTCACACCGGGCTGACCTGTCATATTTGACGTGTATCTTGCAGCTCGCACACTGACTGAGATTATTCTAGAATGGTGATAAATTAAGATTGCAAACACACTTGTGAGTGAGCCCGGTGTTGGTCAGTTAAGTGTCCCGACTAGGGATGTAGAACAATGGGCCAGCGGATGCTTGTCAGCGGATATTTGCTACGTGAAGCGATTTGTTTACATTTTCACTCTCCGAAACCTCGCACACATGTTGCAGACTTGGCGTTTGCACCAAGACACAGAGAAAATCAAACCCAAACAGCAACTGTCTGATTAATTAACAATACCATCTATCCGAAACATAGTTCAAGGAGCGTACCAGAAGCTATTAATCACTTTCACTAAGCACCGATAACAGAGTTGGAAAGTTTTTTTCCTGCCGCGCTGTCAGAGTCACGATCTGTTGCGGACCGCTCTGTGCTGAAACCCGGCCCCGAGCCATTCTAAATCGCATCTAACAAAAGGCACACGACTCACCTCGTCATTTCATAGATATGAACCAAGCGGTGTCTTTTAAAAGTCCAAAGTTAACTCGAACGCAGACTCATGCGCTTATTTGCTTTCAATCGTCGTCCTCCATGCGTGAAACATAACAAGCAAGGGTAGGTAACTCCGGTTTGCTGCTGAAGCTGTTCCCTCTCCGCATCCTCTGTGTGTAATGTAAACGACAGCAACGAGTGACCACGCCCACTTCATGCAGTGGGGTCGCGATCACTCGCAGGATTAGACTGGTATGCTGCTAAATCAGACCCTATACTGACATGTTTGACATTTCCCTTTGTGGGGAAAATATTTCAGCGTTCATTTCAATAATTTGCTTTGTGTTTTTTGCAACTTTCGCGATTTTATGGCGGTAATAACTTTTTCTGAATAATCGCATTGTCATGTTTTTATTTCAAAAGTGGAAAAACACATATCCCGTGTAAGTTATGTGACTAGAATTCTTTGTGTTCCAAATATTATTCTGCTCGTCATAGGTTTAGTCAGAGACGTGTTACACATGATGTGTTTTAGTGACATGTATTGTACACGCTTCTCCCCGCATTACTGTAATATTGTAAATATGAGAAGTCGTTTGTCCCCACATATAGATGTTTTAGAATAAAATTATCACACCACCAAAGGAGGTTCAAACTCCGGCGGAAGGACGTCTATAATAATGTCGGAATAAGTGAATGAGTGAGTTTAGTTTAAATGTCACATGCAACGTAAAACACAACTTTGTAGATTCTGATACCTTTCGGTATGGACTTACCGAAACAAATCATCAAAAATGCAAAATCAACTTATAAAATAACGCGATGAAACAAACCGCGCGAAATCGGAGTTCAAACGATTCACTAATTTTCCCCCAGCGCTTGGGGGAAAAAGTGGTTTCAACAGCTGGGCTGCGCTCATAGCACATGCACAATGAAATAGGTTCGCGCAGCTTGGAAACAGGTGGCAGGTGAATACTCGGTGAAGGCTTTGGTGTGAGCTACTTTTCTAATGTTTTGTTGATATTTCACAGGCGCGAGCTTTTTTATATGTTATGACAGTAGATTACCGACTTAACGGTTTATATAATTTCATTTGTCTATTTCACCACACGTTCTTCTTACCGAGTCACTTTCTCAGTTCGATACTTAAAAGCAATGCCATTATTTAGCGTTGACCGAATTTCTAATATGTCGTTGTCACAGACAAAACTCAATGTCTGTTTTATTGACACCTATGTGTCTGCCTGCCTGTCTGCTAATGACAATATTCAATACACAACTTCGATCACTGACCACATGCAATTTGAACTTAACACCTATCAAGCTATACACCATAAACAAAACGCATTGATTTATGGCCCGAGTTCGGTCTCTGTCACATTATGTAATTACACAGATAGGCAGGTGTGATACTTGTACACATGACATGTTATGATGTCTGTTGATTGCAAAATGTTATACACAAAAAATGAGCATGTATCCTTGATTAATCCCGTGCAGCACATCTCAATTGCTATAGCATTGTTCACCTTGAGTCATTCACTCACACGTATAACACAATCGTACTGTTCCATTAATATTTCGGCACTGAGAGAGAGATTGTCATTCAGAAACGAACCTTTGAGGCAAACAGGTCCAGGGTATATATTAAAACAGGATGGAGGTATAAAACATTTGATAATCGGAGTTAGGGTTTCGAGATATTTGGGAACAGCACACGATGAATTTGAGCATGTGTTTTCATTTCTAACGTGATATCTTCAATACCGTGAATGATGATATAATGTATTGCATGTTTATTTATCATACAAAACTGACTTACACAGGAGATATATCTTGGGTTAGATATATTGATAGCTGAACGAGTCCCAGTTGGATACCGCTTTGAATGTATTTCAAAACGTATCTGACGAGATTGTAATAAAAATCGGTATCTATCAGAGACGAGTTTAGTGATTTTTGTTTTACTCACTTAAACTTTGCATGCACATTACTTTAAATCAAATGTGAAAATAGACGTTTTAAGAGTGGAGTTGGAATACAATGGAATACAACCTGATGATTCGATCACAGATTATTCTCTCAAGGCGCAACACGGAAATGTAGTGCGTGTCTTGTCGAAGATCGACTATTAAAAGCGATAAGATGCCAATTCTAATACCGTGTTCATAATATACATATGGAAATTAATTAAACATCACTCGTATTTCCTCAGACTGAGCAACTTTAATGAACTGGTGCATAAAATGTATTGTGTAAGTATTAGGGCTGCGCAATATAACCGGTTTACCGGTATTTACCGGTTCAGACATGAAAACGATACGTATTGCGATACGCTGAGCGAAAACCGGTATTTTGACATGCATTCGAAAACTTCGTAACACTCGGAAATCTTCGGATATTTACGTTTTTTTAATTGTTCTTTTTCCTGTTTCATTAGTGCCAAATGTTACTTTAATTTTTATTTTGTCATGATTAAAAGTTTTTATAAAAGGTTAATCAATCATAGTGATTTTGTTGTGTACTTGCTTTATAATCAAGCATTAACGCGATTATAAATAGTTTTTTGTTAAAAAAATAATCCTTGCAATATATTGCAATACATATCGCAATATATGCTTCCGCATCGCAATATATCGCAATATGAAAATTCTCTGCGATACCCACCCCTAGTAAGAATCTTGTGTAACCTCCCTGCACACGAACAACTGATTCAAGACACCTTATTCCATGGATCAATCTCCGGATACGATTCTAAGGAAACTCGTTCCATTCCTCATGCACACCAGCATGAAAGTCAGTTCATTGAGCGTCTGGATTGGTGGGTTCCTCTGTCGAACAAGACGCCCATACGATGATGGTCTCAACAGCTTTCTGTTGTAAGAACTGGGTGACAGCACGTGGTCTGTGAGGCCTGGCATTCTCATCCATAAAGATGGATCTTGTGGCTAGAGGATGGTTATAAAAAATGTGGGACAACAGCCGTCTCAAGGATACCCAGGCCATGATGCAATATTCCAGCGAACTCGTTGATTACACCAGGCAAGTCTGCTGTGTTGTGAGCTGGAGACTGTTTCATAGGTTACATCCCGACTAAGTATAATATATAAACAATATCAGGGGCGGTTTTTTAACTAGTCGGTAACTCTGTACTCAGTTTGTGTATTGAAAATGTGGGTTTGCCGGCGATTCCCCTTCAAAATGAAATGTGGCTTTGTCGGGAGGACAGCGTTTCATACGCTTGATGGGTTCTCTGGTCCTGTATCCTGCTGCTTGCAGCCGATTCCTGACGGTCCTGCAGGAAATGGCTCTCCCTGGTAACCATTGTTGCCTTGACGATGTGCTTGAGTCCCTAACAAAGTCTCAACAACGCTCTACCCTCTCCTAGTGTTGTCTTACCGGGTCAGCCTGGTCTTGGAAGATCTTCAACCTTCAGTGGTAGCCCTGTGTGTTTTCAAGAGTCAATTAGAAATTATGAAAAGATTACGCCCAACTTTTGAGGGACATTCCTGCATTTCTCTTGCCAATAATTTGTCACCTTGTAGAATTTGACAATGTACGACGTGCCATGACAATTATGGTTTTAAATATTCAAACTGAATTGAAAGGAGAGAGTGTGACAAGTTATCAGCGTTGTGGGTGGGACATTTCCGTTGCACGTGCATTGAATATCTCCACACACAATATCATGCTATCATTCAGAAAATGCTCTTCTTAATTCACAGAATTATAGATCTATGATTTAGGTGTTGTTTATTTAATTTACATATCTACAGTATATGTACCACTCTCATGTACCACACGAAGTGACCGCCTCAGTGGTGTAGTGGTTAGAGCGTCCGCCCGGAGAGCGGAAGGTCGCGGGTTCGATCCCCGACCGCGTCATACCAAAAGACGTTAAAATATGGTACTTGTTGGTTCCTGCCTGGCGCTCGGCATTATTGGGTACAACAAGGACTGGTCGGCTCGGAGTCAGTATACTGTGTCTGAGTGGGGTATTCATGCTTCACTGCGGCATGGTATCTCAGTGAGCTAGCACTATAAAACCAGCTTCAGTCTGGGCTAGTACAAGCAGCCGCACATACACATACACACGCATGCACGTCGTCATATGAGCGAAATATTCTCAAGCCCGACGTTAAACCCAATTTCACCTCACCACACGAAGTTCAAGGTCGTTGATGGCGACGACCGTTATGATCGTATTTCGACATGTTTATTACTGATGCTCTGAGCCTTAAAAAATGCTGCTTCTATTGTAGTTCTAAAATGCTATGTGACAGTTCGTATACCCTATGTATTTGAACCAACATTATTTAACACATTCGGAAGATCAGCTGATGTAAAAGTTAGTTAGTAACGTTCGCACGGAATGTTATTAATCAGTTTAAGAAGTAGATTCTAATCCTGTTTGTTAAAAGAATGATCTCTTCACGGATGAGTTATAACTGGCGATCTCTCCTTGCAGATGTCGCTGTAATGCAGAACAGTGTGACGTCTTGTGACGTAACAATGAAATGACATCACTAATACGGGATGTTGAAGGATAAATCAAATCTTACCCACACATGTGTCTTGATAAGATATCAACATTCATGGATAAAGTTTTTATAACACGTTGGCAAGCATCGGAGATTTTGAGACTCTTTATTTGCACAGAAGTAAGGTAAACTATCCGTCGGAGTCCGTGCTCAACTGAGCACAAATACCAGTTTAGTCTGTTTAGTATGTCCAACAAACTTTTGCCTTTGGATTATGAAATCCCTATCTGATTAGGGAAAAGAAACAACTTTTTACCAGATAAAATTCAACAACTGATGGAGAACCACAAACATACATGTCGTATTCTTTACGAGGCGTCAAAGTTGATTATTTGCATCACTAATGTCTTTCCCGATGACTGGTTTGCTGTACTTTGTAGTTACTTCAGGTAATGCACGTGAACCAGTTGCTTCGGATAGTGCACGTGGAACCAGTTACTTCAGGTAATGCACGTGGAACCAGTTACTTCAGGTAACACACGTGAACCAGTTACTTTAGGTAATGCACGTGAACCAGTTGCTTCAGATAATGCACGGGGAACCAGTCACTTCAGGTTTGCACATTAACGTGAACTGTTAGCAATACAATTTCAACTGAACACAAAGGAATGCACGAGTACGTTTAATCATTCAGGAAATAACAGTACGGATCTTTGAGCGTTTGCAACGTGTGGAATGTTTACATGCCAAAGGCATGTTGTAGGCGCAACAGGATATTGGTCCCCGAACGTTGCATGTTTCTCGTTAGGGAGAACAATAACAATAAGAACCCAGCAAATATTGTATCGAACCTAGCAAATATTGTATCGAACCCAGCAAATATTGTATCGAACCCAGCAAATATTGTATCGAACCTAACAAATATTGTATCGAACCTAGCAAATATTGTATCGAACCCAGCAAATATTGTATCGAACCCAGCAAATATTGTATCGAACCTAACAAATATTGTATCGAACCTAGCAAAATAACCAGGGCGAACCTGGATCCGAACCCACCATCGCTGTGTTCGGGGACTCTCAAAGGACGCAAATGTACACTGTGTAGTCTACAAGGAGAAGGGATACCACACACCCCAGTACGCATGTCACCGTGACCTAACTAGGAGCCAAGAACATTCTTCAGTTGGTATATATCTTTGTTGTGGGTCATTAAAGTAACACGTGCGTGGAGATGTTTGCCAGTGTACGGAGGTATCCCAGCTGTACGTAGTCATACTGAAAACGTTTTTCATTCATTGATATATCATTCTTGTTTATCAACACGTGTAACGAAGATAAAGTACCCCTCCTCCCCTGCCCCCTTGTCTCCCCCGGCTACAGACCTCAGCGATATACCTTGTGAATCCCAGTAAGTTGAATGGATAGAGCGTCTGTCCGGCGAGCGCGGACTAGACGGTTCCATCCCTGATGCGTTATACTAAAAGACGTTGAAACATGGTGCTTGTTGCTAACATGCCTGGCCTTGGTTATTCAAGAGTATACTTTGACTTGAACGGTTGGGACGTTCTGCTCCGGTCTCGATTAGTAACAGGTGTCTGTCATGTAATATGAATATCGCTAACTGCTAACTGTTGATTGACATTAACTTTATTGTGTTGTTGAAGGAAGGTAGAGTAGGTCAGTTCAGGCTAACGCCCACTGTAAGGACGAATTCATTGGGCAATGATCACATGCGGTTGACATAATAGTAAAGTCTGACCCCCGATTCATTTCAATCGACTCGTCCAAGGAAAGGTTGCAGCCGATATATTTGAGTCATGAATTAGCATTCCCTCACCCACTAAGCGACACCAACGTTGTCTAATAGACATGCAGTGACTTTTATCGCCTTCAGACAGAAAGGTAAAATCCAGTTTTATATGGGAAACTCCTCCCCTCCTTTTTGTAGGGCTCTTTATTTTAGTATCATAATATATCCTAACATGCGGGAGGAAGGTAAAGCACTGACAATATATTTTGTTTAAAATAACCACAAACTGATTCAGCTAAAAGTTTTTGTACGTTTAAATCACATATAAACATCACACACAAGTACACACACTCACTCATCCGCACATTAGATACTAAAATAATAGTGTCGTTGTTTCAAAGAACAATATGGAACATCAACCTACGGCATAAAAACATTAGAGACAATCAACATCCCACACACTAAGACGTTGATGTACGTGCTTATTCTGCAAAATGTTTTTTTTTAAAAAGATTTTTAACGTCATATGAAAGCGGACTGCAAATACTCGATTCCGCACGAGCCAGTCTAGCGATTGCCGTCATTAGCATCGATCCAGGTCATCTGGATAGATGACATGCAATGAGCCAAGGACTTCCTGACCTACTGAGTGAGTGAGTGAGTGAGTTTAGTTTTACGCCGCACTCAGCAATATCCCAGCTATATGGCGGCGGTCTGTAAATAATCGAGTCTGGACCAGACAAGCCAGTGATCAACAGCATGAGCATCGATCTGCGGAATTGGGAACCGATGACATGTGTCAACCAAGTCAGCGAAACTGACCACCCGATCCCGTTAGTCGCCTCTTACGACAAGCATAGTCGCCTTTTACCTCAACAGCATCACGGTACGTCATGTGACAGTCCGCGTCTTAAACAGCAGGGCACCGTTCCACAAAGTGATCGTCATGCTACGACTGTCGCAAGTCTGTACAAGAATATTGGAGTATTAGCGTTACGATCGCGCTGTGGAACGTTGGCCAGGATTGCAAACGGTATCTCTGACCAGACAGTGCAGGACTGCCTTCGTGGGGCAGAATTCAGCATCAAGGCTGTTTTGACATCGTGGTCAATAACATGGCCAACTGCGCACAGAGTCAAGCACGCAGATTATGGCCTTACCATCGATGGTGAAGTATCTGATTCAGACACTAGTCACGATTTATGATACACCGAGCTGATGGGATAGCCGGGGTTTACGGACGTCGCAATGAAAGGCAACTCTGCATAGTCAGTCTACATATTCGGCGGTGACACATAATGATATGAGCGGTACACTCCAGCACAGATGGTCAAAATCATGCCACTTAAAAAGGCAACCTTATTTCATTGTGTTGAAATTCTACAGCAGCACGTCAACGCAATACGCTTACACCACGCGTAACAGCAGCAGTCCACGCTGACTCCAAAGGACAGGCAGTCTAAATCGCCAGATTTGAACCCGGCAAAACACTCGTGCCATGGGACGAGATGGACCGCGATGTACAGAGGCGTCACACTGATCTAAGCTCAATACAAATGCGTACACTTCAGGCAGAGTGCACCAACACGAAATGTTGAATTCACGTGACTTTGACCTTTGTCATTTTCCGCGTAATGTATTCACGTGCTCACAGCTGCCCTTGTTTTGTACTTAGGAAGTGTTCAGATACGCAATACATGTGTTACTTCCTTCACCAATGAATAGTTATGCATTTCTTCTTTTAACAAAGTTACACATCAAACAAAGACTCGGTTACCTCCATTTCTATCCCATTGGTTTCTACTCAAATTCTTGCATCAGTGAAGTGAGTGAATATTCCTTTACGCCGCAATTTTGATGATCTTCGCGGAGAGCACCAGAGTGAAAATGAATTATTACTATGAACACATTTCCGAGATAAACAAAGTCGGACACATCAAGTAAAATCTTCGCTGACCAAAATGAAATCTTCAAGTTTTGATCATTTATGACTCAGTAGTGTGCATGCCAAAAGACCTCAAATAATTTTGATAAGAACCAAAACATTCCAGTAAAAAGCAAATCGGTGAATACCAAAAATATGCAAATTCTTGAGATGTTGTGTTTAATCACGAATACTTTGTCATTTATCTTCTGCACGTTAATAGTTGTTGTTGTCATGATTGCTTCACGCACAAACTCATCCATATTCCTGTAAACAAAGTCACAAGCAGTGATTAGGTTTCATGCGATAACAAGACAATGGCACACTGTCGTAAGTTCTGTTGAGATACGCTGGTAACCATCTTCATCATTTATCGAGTTATATTTTGTGGATTCTTCAGCGTGAACAGTCCTCGACTCGATGTGGGCTTCCTGCACTTACATCAGCACATCACCGATCTAATCCCGCATCATATTCGTCTTCCACTGCAATCATCAATATTCCTGCTATATCACGTCGCCCGGTGAATACACGTGTCTGGGACATGAGGACAGGTGGTAAGGTGTAACCCCGCACGTCGGAGTTGTATTGGGAACCTATTCTGTTTCAGACTGTCTCCAAATGGGGAGCCTGAAGCAAGGACACGAGTCATGATTTGTTGATTTGAGAGGTTTTGTTACATATGCGTAGTGAACACATCGAACAGAAACTGGTTAAGACGTTTTCCTGACTGAAATAGGTTACCTTAAACATGACTGTAATATTTACCTGAGTCAAAACTATTTTTAAGGGTTGTTATACGAGAAAAGTGTCATAGTTCAGGTACGTTCTTTGAGAACACTCATTAAAAAGGCGATCGCGTTATCTTGTGTGCCAATTTACAATGAAGAACAATTTTTTACCGTTAGCCTGCCACAATTCCATTGACATTTCATTTTAATTACGAAAATATTTGGTTTAATCTGAATGTGTGTTCAGATCTGACGAGAAAATGCCCGTCGTGTATATTCCGGTGCCGGTGCGAATAAACCGAGCAGTACCAACATGACAGTCCGGGACGGAAGGTCTACCAGGCGTAAGTTCTTCAGAACACACAATGCGGTATTGTTGCAACGCTACCATCACAATGATACTTTAGAAAAGTTAGTAAACCTGGGTACTGAGGTTGGATCCTATGACAGAGTTCAGCGGACTTCTCCGACTTTCATCAATACGTGCAGGGGATTTTACGGTTGCTTCAATCAGCCGGGACTCTGAATATTTTAGAATACAGTGTCACTACAAACGCGCAATTTAACACACAAAAGCACAAGTCACTTCATATTTTGCATTAAATTTATTCACAATTTAAGAATGAGTTTATCATGCAGCTTACAAGTTGCATACTAGGAGAAGCAAGATGAAGCAGCAATCTGAGATTGTGTGGACAGAGGACAGAGGACAGACATTCTACATACGATGCTTTCACCCTCCTCACGCAGGCTCCCACACTCTCAAACCTTGGCTTACACTTCACCATCTTGCACTCTCAACAAAATGCTTAAATTAGCATCTGACTCTCATCATAAAGACATACATCAGATTTATGCTCTTCTACATATTACACCTATCCCTGTTATGTCTTTTAACAACTTTCATCTTACCCACTCAATGCAAGACACTAACTAATTACCCTCAAATAATGCTGTCTTACACTCCAGACATAACTTTCTTCAGTCATCCCAACAAGTTCCTACAAAACATGTGCACCCTGAATCTCCCTGTTCACCTACAACTGACCTAGCACTTTGCACACAATATTTCATTTGACACATAATCAAGCAAAGCTTAGCTAATCTTTAAACCTGTGACTTTTTCCATTACTTTAATGTCAAACACAATGCTTTAATCCCAATTATGTCCACTGACCAAAATGTTCCACTTGACAAGGCTCATGTGAATTTCCAGACAATTGAAGTAACACCAGCTTGATCTTAATTTTATCAAACATTCTTGTTCATAATTGTTTTCAAGAAAAGAACTTACTGAATTAAAATATAATCCAACTGATATGATACAATACTTTTAAACAGTCCAGAAAATGTTAATATGATTTAAATGTAACATTTACATTCTCCCAGTGAGCAAGTCCTCATGCTGTTTAACACTGCAGCAATATCACAACCATTGGATGAGGTTGATGATGCTTTCACTGCAACGCCACAGAGAGAAGCAATGAATACAACTCTACCTACCTTTACCTTACATGATCAGTGTCTGGAAGATGTATTGTCAACACAATCTCCCCATACAACATTCACGCTCAGCATGTCAGTAGTTCTTTCACACCTAGGATAGTAATATGAGCACATTGTCTCACAGGACTCAAGGTACTGATTGAGCAGTTAGCTGTACTGAAACATTGTCTCGGTAAACATGGGTCGCTATTTTGGCACGGTAGTGCACATAAAATGATACAGAAAAGAAACTTAAATGAAAATATGTTGATCAATAATAAACAATTTTTTGTATACAGAACTGAGGATAAACAATAGACATATCTTGAGAGTATTGATGTAAGTAAACAGATGGCAAAGCAATGAATGTGAGGTGTGTTGGACATGCTGATACACAAATGATGGCTTTTTCATATTCTACTGTTTTTCGACATAGATCCTTAACAGGAATACTATACATTTGCCAAGATTTAACATTGAAATGTTCCAGCATGTTTTTGAAAAAAATTATGGGAATAATGTTACTTGAATGAAAAGTGGACGTGTAATTAAGGTAGATATCAACTACTTTCTAAGATGTGACTAAACACCTTTGCACATTAAAACATATTCCCTACAAAGCAGTTACCTGAATCAAATGTGATATTTGAAAATGGGTGTGTCAATAATATCATTTACAAAAAATCCCATAAAAATTGTTTAGAATTATAGTCACAGACCTTGAAGACTACAAGTATAATTATTACATAGTCACAACACTTTCCAACTCACCTGAATGGAAACTTGGGTCACAAAGGTTTCATAAAACTTCTAAACATGACATCTTCACTGCATGCATGATAATGACATATTTCTGTCAGCAGTTTCATGAGACACCACTGTGGGGATTAGATTCACCTACGTAGGCCTCGGGGCTTTAAAGGCGATGGTATGTAACATGGATAGACTGATAGCATGCCACACTTCATGACACAAGAGGGACTTCAGGTGAGCTGAATGTTGACTTTGTAAAACATTTGTTTCAGAATTTTTACATATCAACCAGACCCCAAAAACAAAAACAAACAAAAACAAAACCCACACACATGGCAGTGTTCACGAATAGTGTCTGACCCTCTGACAAATCCGGCAGATTTGCCAACGGTCCCATAGAAGTCTACAACCCACCAGCCCCAGTGTCTGACTGTATATTTCACAATGACTTTGACTTAAGTTGTTATACCTGACATGTGACACTTGTTTGCTGTTTATATATCTTGTGTTTGTTAATAGTTTCAGTGCCAGTTATAAGAAATGTTAAATCTGAAATGTATGTTTAATTTTATTCTATGGGTCCTGTGAATTTTCAATGGGTCAGACAGACATCTGAAACTTGCAGTACCCAATGTCCTGTTACCTTGAAACACCATTCGTGAACACTGTCATGGTGACTGATATGAAGGGTCATCCTAGGGGATCAAAAACAAAACTAGATATTTTCAGCATTTACTACCTTAAAAACTTACCAATACTCAACTAAGTACAAAAATTGTTTATACTAATATGTAATCTTTATGTTGAAAGTAAAGTTAGAAAACCAAAAAAAAGAAAGATTTATTTCAGTGAAATAAAAGACTAAAACACCACCATGGACCAACTGAATGCAAGACTATAAGTACTACAGAAATCTGTGTTCTAAGTGATAAAATCTTATAAAGGTCAAAGAGGTTTTCCAAAAATGATTCTATTTGAATTACACTTACTCATAGAAAGTATGAATTGCAAACACTGCATGTAACCATCTATCAACGAACAAAAGGCCACACACATAGAGAAGAAGGGTCAAATGTCTTAGAACAGAGTCGAGGATTGAGGAAACTGCAATGGGCCCAGTGTGGTCCTTGTCTGTAACTATGCCAGAGATGAGAGCAAACAGGACAGCTGGTGTAACAGAGGTGGCCTTACAACATCTTGATACACTAATGACTTACTTTGTGGTAAAAATATATATATATCTCAAATAGGCTTGATGGAGGAGAATGTGGGATGAATGGCGATGTGATGTGACTGGTGCTCAGCAGTTGAGGGAGGTGATAAACACTAGAAATAATAATCACTTATCCACTGTCTGGACAGATTGAACCCTTTAAAGACTCATACAAATATCACCAAATCATGAACTGTTTGGATTCTGTACCAGGATAAACATCATTAATGACAACCATACTGACAGCTCCCAAACAAATTCTGAAAAAAGAATCATGAGTTGACCACTTTGTCCCATTTAGCACCATGCCCTCAGGCCCTAGCATGGCCAAATAGGTCCCAACCCAGCATAGCCACTTTCAACACTACTGAATAGCAAACTTTTATCACAAATCACTTGTCAGGTGTGTTATTTTGTCTGCATGTATTCAATAGTTCCATTAGTTGATCCTGATATCGTCAGAATTAAGCTGCCATTGTGGCAAATCTCTCCAACAAGAATTGCAAGTTACACTGCATTACAAGGATTTCACAGCAATCAGCACAGGAGTCAACATATACAGATGGATTGGTTATCCCACTCACAAGTCCATTCTCACACATATCCCAAAAGAGGCAAAACTGCTGAGCACTGTCAATTAATGAGAAATGATCAGGATACAACAGTTAATTCTGAGTAAATCATGATATTGCACTATCATTACAGTCTATACAAATGATTTCCACAGGGCTACCAACCCACATCCAACATGGGCAACAGAGGGAGGACAGTTCTATAATACACACCATCAGATTATGTCACAAGGATGCAACTGTTGAAACAAATACTACAATATTCCAGCCCTCCAGAGCATCAAGTCAAGATACAAACACAGTGTAAAATTCAACAGTTTGGCACTGCCGAGTGCTGGCGATAAATATAGTACAAATGCTCATGCTCTGGAGTGAACAATACTTTAAACAATAGTTTATCATATTTCACATATATCATACAGTTCAATAGATAATAAACAACAATAAAATCTGTTGTCAGCATGATCTGCTGAATAATACACGTGCACATATGCACCATCTTAACACTGTACAAGTTGAACATTATACAATATCTGCATATATTATTATATCTGAGATGGTAGTCCATTCCTACCAGATTGGTGTGTGGAGGCGTACTGGGCAATGCCAAGATGCCAGCAAGTGAGGGAGCGAGCTTCATGACAAGCATCGCAAAGACAGGAAAGATCATGGGCCGTCGTGAAGCTGCACTGACCACGCTTCTATAGGCACAGGTGTTCGGACATCTTTGCTAGCCGTCAATGTCATTTATCATTGCAAGGCCATGCCCTTAACGTCATTATCATAACATCATTTCATTAAGACTCTTAGAACTGTACGGTCATATCCTCAACATCAGTCATCATGTGGTCGGTCCAGCTTTCAGTATCACTTTCAGTCCTGCTCTCAGCCAGACCAATACACAGTTGTAAGAACTCGTTTCATTCCTAACAGCACATCACATTCTGACTTCAGCTATGTATTGCCATTGCTTTATACACAGTAGTATCACATTGCCACATGGTCTGGTGGGCGTGGCCAGCATGGTAGATGAGGCGCATTCCATGGGATGCAACACAGCAGCAGTATTGGACTTCTATTGCCTGGCAATGTATCGTGTACTCCTTGCATGAAGTACTGTATGTGACTGGAAGGAGACAAGGCATCTCATAGTGAGGTGGACAGAGAGTGGAGCTTCATTCAGCTACTCCTTAGGGATTGTTCTGGATATTGGTCTCTGTCCATCAAGGCAATGATTCTTGAGCAGCTGTATCAGAAAAGACACGGACGTAAGTATCCCACGTTTCATTAAGCCATACAGAGAATCAGATTTATTTTAAAAAACAAACAACAATTTCAAATAAAAATGAAAGTTTTCTATGAAAACTAAAAAAATAAATTAAAAAAGAACCCAAATTATCAAAAGGTAACGAGATCAACACTAGATCCATTTATGTGCTTATGTGCCACGTTCAGTGAAGATGTATTGCATGTTTTTTGGGTGAGCAATGAAAAGGACATGTTGGGGGCATACAGATGATGTCCATTTCTCTACCCTCCACAATACACTTTGCTGGGGCTCCACAATGAAACTGATAACTTGTATTAACTCTGCATACGAAACAAATCAAAACTTTCTATAACCCTGAGCTCAGCAATCACGAATAGTGTTTCAAATATTTTCGAATTCTCACTGCACAAGTGTTTCCACTGGTGTAATGATAAGCACTGACCTCTAGTTTTATTTGCAGATTCTATAATTTGCATGAGGCAGCGTCCGAACTCCTCAATGACCATCCTCTCCTGAACAACTGGGGGCATCTTCATTCGTTCAGCTTCCTCCGCCTGGGCAAGGAGACACGCACATGTTGCCTCAGCAACTTCTGTCGTGATCAGTGTGTACGGCAACCTGAATCAACAATGTTTTTTAATAGCACACTAATACATCTGCACAGCTTTGCCAAGAAATGAAAACAAGTTACTCTGTACACATAAACCTTTGCAGAACAAGTTAAAATTTATTTAGCACTAAAAAATGCCACATCTCCACACTTTTACAGCACAATTTCAAGTGTACTTACGATAATTCGCCAAGATTTCCTCATTCAGAATCTTAACCTACATGTCACGCAGATAGTCATTGACATGGGCCTTCCCTAGGAACCCAGTGTTGTTTGTTGTTTAACATGCTAGGCAAACTTTCTGCATTTGACTGTGGTCGGTAAATAATCTAGACCAGCAAAACCAGCGACTGAGATAACAAGCAAAGTGCCATCAGTGTACAGGCTGCTGGGGACCTATTCCAGCCTGGAGTTCACACAGAGATGCATCCAAGACAAGAACTATATCATGTTAAGGGTATGTTGTGTTGATTCCTACCTCTCCCCACTTGCTGATGACAGTGGCGGTTTTGACGGGAGGCCGGACATCTGGGAAGACAGTTTGGTTTTAGCTGCTGTCTGCTGCTGCACTCGAACTTCCGCTGCATCAGCAAGGTGCATGAGGGTTTTCCTCTCCGGGCTCTCCTCAAAGTTCTTACAACCAACACACTTGCATATACTGGAGCACATAATCTTTGCCTGGAATCAAAGGAATCAACACATGCATCAACAAAACTTGACAAGTGATCCGAGCCAAATCTGATCACTTTTTACATACTTTGATATAGAATTTAATCACTCTTGTATGCAGACAAATTATTTCACAAACTATCTAAGACATCTGTCTTTATCAATGGTAAATGTAAATCTATACTGATTCATGTGTACCCATATAACATTTAGCTATCTTCTTCCTAGTTTTTCATTCAGGCTGATAAAGGAGTAAGAACATACCCCAAACTGTTGTGTTCCTCATGTTACAGAAGTTGACATCAATAAATTTTCACCTTTAAAATATATACTGAATGAAAGTCTCCAACCTCACCTCGTAACATTCACAATAATTCTTCAGACAACCAGATCTCTTACAGTTACAGCCTTTATTGTGACGTCTATCACCGTCGACTTTGGCTGTGAAAAAGAGAAATAAATGTTTTAGAACTGAACTTCCATACAAGGCAACATTAACTTCAGGGGCCATTCCATTGCAATTACTGTTTACACTCAGTTGCCATTTGGTTCTCAATAATCAATCCATGTGACAAGTATGGAAGACAGGGCCCTTATAACCAGCAAGGAAGCTTGGAAACCTGCCCTCCTATCACCTGTTCTTAGTGATAAGCATTGAAGACGGGGCCCTTGTGACTAGCATGGAGGCCAGGGGCCTTTTAACCAGCACTGGGACACTTGTGACAACCTCCATAGTATCAGCTGGGACCCTAGTGACAACATCCCCTGTGTCAGCTGGGACCCTAGTGACAACCTCTCTAGTATCAGCTGGGACCCTAGTGACAACCTGCCCTGTGTCAGCTGGGACCCTAGTGACAACCTCCTTAGTATCAGCTGGGACCCTAGTGACAACCTCCCCTGTATCAGCTGGGACCCTAGTGACAACCTCCCCTGTATCAGCTGCGACCCTAGTGACAACCTCTCTAGTATCAGCTGGGACCACTTTGTGATGTGCCACTACATATAAAACTATATCAACTTACATGTTTTTCCTATCTTTGGATGGAAAGCCATAGGGTTTCTATCAAGACATGACTTGATTGCTCGAGAACGTTCTTCTTCATGCTCGAGGTTATTGGCACAATTTGTACAGTTGCAGTTGTGACAGAATTCTCCATTTGCAAAACAATCACAGTATCTGTGGACAAATTGAACCAGTCAGACATCAACATGAACACCTTTAACCTTCACCTCAAATAATAGTCATACTTCAATCATTAACAACATATAAATAGAATGTGACATACTTGTAATTATAGATTAAAATATGAATCATTATATCACCCTCTGCAATATTCCAATGACTGTGGCCGGTTATCAAGTCTGGACCAGATAATCACCAATGTTACAAGAAACACTCAGCACTATCAAGAAATTATGACATGCCATAAATCTAGACACTGAGACTGAAAGCCAGATCCACTGTTGCTTTTTGTGACAATCATAGGTTGCAGGGGCCTATCAGACCTAGACTCCCCAAATACTTCTGGAATTAACAGCAAAACAAGTGCAGTACTTACAGCTTTAAGCACTGAGATTTTGTACAATTACACGGTTTTCTTGGCCGAGCACCAGTGGCTTCTAGCGTTGTTGTTCTGGAAAGCAAAGATAGGAAATGTTAAAAGTCGTAGGTGGGTGTCCTACACGGGACCAGCCATTAACCTACCCTCAGGATGTAAAGACAAGGTAACAGACTGACAAACAAGATGATGTTAAGAAGTTTCATCATTCCAATGCCAGTCCCAGACATCACACTCACTTGTTGACACATCAGATTAGAGAACAGCTATTCTTCATTGTTTTGCTATGACATTTTAATACATGAAAGTACTGTTTTCCATCAAAGATCTAATAATTTCAATAGAACTTGTGACAGATGTATGAATGGGCAGTTATAAAATGATTATTTTTTAGGTGCTTGAACTGATATATAAGCACACATCAGGAACATGCAATAATTCAGGCAAATTCATAAAGGCATACAAAATTCATAAATTTGCTTCTTTGAGTGGCATTGTTTAGAGGTGAAGTGGCGTGAAATTGGGTTTTACGTTGTGCTTGAGAATATTTCGTTCATATGACGACGTGCATGCGGTGTATGTGTATGTGCGGCTGCTTGTACTAGCCCAGACTTAAGCTGGTTTTATAGTGCTAGCCCACTGAGATACCATGCCGCAGTGAAGCATGAATACCCCACTCAGACACATTATAATGACTCTGAGCCGACCAGTCCCTGTTGTACCCATTAATGCCGAGCGCCAGACAGGGACCAACAAGTACCATATTTTAACGTCTTTTGGTATGACGCGGTCGGGGATCGAACCCGCGACCTTCCGCTCTCCGGGCGCACGCTCTAACCACTACACCACAGAGGCGGTGGCATTGTTTAGAAGTTGGAGAGTAATATACGCATCATCCGAATAAAGAAGTTGTTTTTATCTATAAAGTTTGTCTGTATATTCATAATTTTGATTCCTAATAAATAGATACACCTATTTAATAATGTTTTGAAAATGACACTGAACATTAACAAGACAACTTTGACGTGAAGAATCAACATAACATGCCAAAGTGAGTCATTGTTTGTCAAATAAGATTTAGAACAAAATACTTTCCCGTAAATGTTAATCACACTGGCATGATAAGAACAATATAACAATTAAGGCTTAAATTCACCCGTTTCTCAACCTTCACAATGTTTTCTAAGAAGCTTCGGGTGAAATATCAAAGGCGCCGACAGTACTTTATCAGACAATGATGTGCACTTTTTGCATTACGTCACAATGTGTTGGCGTCACTGCACGATTCTAGTCTGCCCCCTCGTAATCGAACCATTTTGCATTACGTCACAATGTAAGCGATGTCACGATGCATGTCAGTTGTCATCGCCTCGTACGGCCTCCTACAGTAAACTACTCCATTGCATTCCGTCTCTTGGTTTGCAGTTGCTTCACGCAGCTAAACATCATGGTGGAAACATTATGTTTATGTTTTAAGACGGTTAAAATGTCTCAATTCGACTCACAAGTTTTCAGCGACACGGTAACGTTCGCAATGTTTACATTCCCACAATGCAATTGGGGTATGTCGCTTGACTACTCAGCTTCATCTAGATGTACTGATCTAAACTTCAGTTGGAAGTAGAAATGTGACGTTCAATTGCCCCATATGGTTTACGTTAATGACAGATGTAATTCAAATAATTTTAAGAAGATATTTAATCCGAACATAAACCATCATCAAACTGTTATCATTTGTTTTTTTCTGGTAACGTTCGTCTTAACGTAGGGGGAGAGACACATCAATAGAACAGTGCGCCAGTTAGCCCTGTGCGAGGATTCTTAATTTACCGACACCGTTGTTTGTTTTCTGCCTTAAATTAATCGTAATTATCCTTAGAAAGTTATAAATTTGGCATCTTAGAAAAGAAATACAGTTAGCTCTACCAAGCAAGCGTCCTCGTACTTTAACTATAATAGTTCAGGGCGAAAATGTGCCTTATTACACTATACATGGTGGTAGAGCAAACTGTATTTCTTAATTAACTTCTCTGTTTTTTCGCTCACATAATGAATAGAATTTCCATAGTAAATATGGTAGGTTTCGGAAAACTATTACAATACATCATGACAGTCCTGTATCAAGAAACGACTACATACAAATCATGATAGCAATCCTCTTTTCAGAACACATCACAAATAGATCACATAAGCCATGGATTCAGCAACTGATTAGATCAGTGGACATGCCTTTTATAGCCAATGATCAGTGATGAAATTTGCAAATACTAATAAGGTAATAAATCCTGCTACACATTATAGACATACTAGAACTCCATGCTACTGACCCATTCAGTGAGTTCCTGGCCAGCACAGATGCAGACACAGAGGGATCACTACTGGCAATAGGAATGTAATCTCTCTGCTGCGTTTGTTGGGACTGCTGAGGCGCCACCTGTATCGTCTGCTGTTGTTGCTGTTGTTGTTGCTGCTGCTGCTGCTGTGGCTGACTTGACTGGTTTGACTGCTGCATCTGCTTTTGAATCTATAAGTGAGTGAGTGACAGCAATAATACACTTAATGCGTGTTCATGGTACCTAACTCTCCAGCTTGAACTTTCTATATAAACTGTTGGCAGAAAGAAACTTTACCACAGCTTGGATTTGATAACACCCCCCAAAAATAAATGCATGAAGTGAATTGCATTGAACAGATCAAAATCTTTTATCAACATTCAAAATGACCAAAACACATCTCACATGGCATTTCATGTCTTTTTGATCAGTGTGAGTGTTCCACATGCCGTTTGAATCATTTAATACCCTGATTGTGGGCTTCAGCTGATCAAGCATGCATCTCTTTTAACTTTTCATATTTATACCCCTGCCACACTTTTGAGTATTTCAAGTGCTTATGAGTTCAATACGCAGCCCATAAGCTCAAAATTGCAATTTTTTTCGATTACCTTGACTTATGTGTGACGACATCTAGCGTATAAATAATGAATTCAACGCGATCCATTGCGCACGAGGTACATGTGGATGGATTTGCGTAACACTATTTTTCTTGTCGCAAATAACTGCATATGCAGTGTGCCTGCTGAGCGTATTTCGGATGCACACAACTTATGCCGACCGCATGCCTGACACACTTATGACGAATGCCAGGCGTGTTCCGAGCGTATTCCCAATTTATTAAAAAGGTGGCTGTTTCCCGCTGTTATCGTTACCAGTGCAGATTCCATAGCGTGTACATCAACCTGTTGTCATCATGGGCCGCCCAAACCATCATATTTATACCACATATCGAGTGTACCCGGGATGTTTGGTAAGTACGCTAAATGTACTCTATCTGTGAGTTTGTCATAAGTTACAAATAAATACAATACGCTACCTGATCGCAGGACAAACAGTACCGATTCGTGCAATACGTCGGCATTTGCTAGCAGTTTGTTCAGTGTACATTGTATCTGCACTGCAAGTAGGCTATGTATATCGTCCAATATATCGCGAGCTCGTAGCTTCGTGCCTGGAGATAAGCGTATTGCGCGTATGAACTGCTTATCCCCCACGAACACATAGAAGACTCCTACCGCGCTGGACTGATGCAGGACTGGTGCATGCCCCAAAAAATCATTGTACTGGACCATACTTACACAAAACGATTGAGATGCACATGAGGTGTGTATTGTGCATATCGACTCGCGAATGAAAGAAATGTGAATGCCCAACTCATAAAGAATTAGGTTACGCAGAAGTGTGACAGGGCCCTTAAAAATATATAGACATAATAAAATGTGCCATCACTTTTAAGTTTTGTTGTGTTTGGACAAGCGTGTCCTGCACTGATTCAGTTTTGCAACATCATTTTTAAAGTGGCAAAGTCTCTTTTGGGCGTAAGTTTATACCACATTTCCCTGCAAATATTAGAATCTGCACGAACCAAACCAAGGACTGATGGTTTCCCATGCAACTAAATAGTCATCCAAGAAAACTAGTTACCCTGGTACCCAAATACCTGTCATACTTTAGCTGCAGTACTGTTTTACACTTTCAATTACAAAGTTACAATTCAAATGCTAAGGTGAGACATCTGGACAATTCATACTAAAGGCCAAAAAAAGATACAATAGGTGGCTTTCAACTCAAAGCCCCATCTATCAAGGATCAAGGACCAGGAAGAGGAAGAGGAACAACATCCCCTGGTGGCAAGCAGAGATGTGCAGACTGAACTTTGAATGCCTCGTCATTGCTATGCTAAAGTACATCAATTCACGTATTCTATTGCAGTTGATTATTACTATTTTAACATGAATTAAAGGAGGTAGCTGTGACTGCTATTTCTTTTAATTTTAGAAACTAGAGGTATCATGTATACAACTCAAAATACATTAAAGACCACTCAATCTCCCAATGCCTTCCAGTTGTGGGCATTCTTTAACTTGTTTTGTGTAGTATATTTACTGAGGTGATCAGACAAGATGTCTCACCTGAGTGACATACGTGGCAGGCACCAGGGCAAAGCCTTGTAGCCCCTGAATGTTGGCTCCAGCGGAGAGGATGGTGGCCCCTGACGGCAGGGCAGTCACCCCCCCTTGTGAAGACACCTGCACACTGTGTCGCAGCTGAGATAAGTTCTGGTTTGTTGCTGTCCTCACTGTGTTCACTGTGTTTGGGGCTGGGAGCAGGATACGCTGTACATTTTGGGAACCAGCGAAACCCCAGTCTTGGCTACCTACGGAGACAAGATCATGTCATTAGTGGACTTCCAATTGTGCACTGCCTGAAGAGTGAAACTTGAAATCATACACTATAATAGATTTTGAACATGAAAAATAGTGGTAGAAACTGTAGCTCACCTGCATAAGTAGTAAACAGTCTCAAATGTAAACAAAGACAGGCACATGACAAAAGTTGCTGTCAGTACTGAGATTCAGATATTTTCTGCACAAACACTGGAGACAAAATGCAACATACAAATCTGAATGGAACTATACATGATGTTATGTTGAGAAAGATACAAGCCAAAGTTCAGCTGCATTAGTCTGGCAATTTCAGAGAAGTATAAAGGACCAAAATATTGGTAATCATTTTAATAAAGATAAACTAAAAGTCAAAACACTCAAATGAGCTAATAGTGTAAAATATATGTTAAGCACCACTACTGAAGAAAAATGAAAAGTTTGACAAAAAGATGGTCGAAGAACGGTCTTTCAAAGTGGCCATGGAGACTTTCAAACAAATTCAAATCTTGAAATGTCATCAATAGTGGGAACAAGCATGTGAAGTTTAAGTTTCATTGGTCAGGTTGTTCACAGGAAATGCATTTGTTGGGAATTTAGGAAGAGGTTCAAAGTATAAAAGTCAAACAAATGCAAAAGAAGTACAACATACTAGTATATACTTCAGCCCCACTTCTGACTACACATATACCAAAGTTCACGGCACTTGAAGTAGAATCAAGAAATATCACGCGATTATTCATTAACAAAGACAGCTGCACATGTGCTGACAAACAAAGTAAAACAAAGCCATTCTGGTAGGTAGATCTGTGCATGGAGATTTGTACCAGTTGTGTTGACTGTACAGGGAGGGTTATCTTCACTTGGGAAGTGCTGGGCTGAGAAGCTGTTGTCAAGGTAGCCGGGGCAATGGGCCGCCCTGTCTGTATCACCTGGGTAACGGTTGTGGAGGGTTTTGACACTGCAACAAACAAGTAAATCACTTTAATACACACTTGATTACAATATACAGAACCAGACTTGCTTAGTGTCTACTGATACTCTCTGCATATAGAGGACACATATCTAGACCTGTTCACAGGCCAATATTCAGCCACAAATTTACTGAACATTCTCCCAGAGACATTCCATATTTTCAGATAACACCTGAGATATCATACAAGATAGATAAATAAGAAAAAAAGAATTAAATGTCAAACCTTCAAAAAGACTTCATGAAATAATTTGAAAAGGAGCGAGTGAGTTTAGTTTTACGCTGCACTCAGCAATATTCCAGCTTTATGGCGGCAGTCTGTAAATAATCGAGTCTGGACCAGACAATCCAGTGGTCAACAACATGAGCATCGATATGCGCAATTGGGAACCGATGACATGTGTCAACCAAGCCACCGAGCCTGACCAACCGATCCCGTTAGTCACCTCTTACAATAATCATGGGTTACTGAAGGTTCATTCTAACCCGGACCTACACGGGTATTTGAAAAGGACTTAATGACATCATTCCAACATCAGTTGTCAGGGATGGCAACAGGAAAATCTATTTTCAGCTGAAAACTTAATATTGTGTCATTGAGTTGAGGGTTTCTCAATGGATTTAGACGATTCACAATTTGAAATAAAATCCGCGGATCAGCGGAAAATTGCCATCCCTGAGTTGTAATAGGAAGCACTAACCTGTGGCGGTAGAGGTTTGAGAGGCAGGGCTGACTAGCCTCACATAATGAAACTTGCTGCCGGGGGACTTGTATCTGCTGTACATTGCTTGCCCCCCGGAGCTGCATGGGGCGAAACACAGGTTGAGCAGGGGCAAGCTGTGGATGACTCTTCGTAGACACCGACTGGGCCAGCACATTAGTCTTCTAGCAAGAAAGCAGAAAGCACAATCACATTATGCACCTGACAAATGTAGGTCTTTCCCACTGAATCACATATGTACACACTAGGAAACACTCATCTCAGAAATCAAACACGCTATGTAACAGTATACACTAAATATATTTCTGATGGTATGAATTAAGTGCTTTAACTAGAGTAACGTCCCTTAGTTGTTTACAGTTCAAGATCTCTTCACCCTTAGTATACCAAGTGCGGATAGTTCAGATGGAGACGTTTGTTCTACAGCTGTTGAGTCACTACCTCATTAGAGAATAATAATAATAATAATAATAATAATGATAGTGCATATTTATAATGCGCACATATCCACTTGCAATGTAACAGTTTCTAGAAGATGTCTTCTCTACTTGCCCAGTGAGGACGGAATAGCAGTCACAAAACACTGACTTATTACCTGCTTCAAGTTCAAACAATGTTTCTAAAACTTAACCAAACCTGAAGAGGTTTTCAATTCTTTGAAGAGAGTCGTCCTTGGGGTACATATATGCATTTTCTGCGCTGAAAATGTCCTGTGACAGTTGTATCAATGTTTTAATAAAATATTGTACAATAAATAAAATCTTTTATCTATTATACGGCCCCCACCTGGTGGAGTTACCTCCGCTACGCATGCGCAGCCAACCAGGTAAGCACCTAGGCCCGTGATCATCATTCCTTCTGCTGAATAAATCAGTGAACAGAATTGCGGGGAGGCGGAAGGTTCTACCCCAAGGACGACTCTCTTCAAAGAATTGAAAACCTCTTCAGGTTTGGTTATTTTTTTCATAGAGATCGCCCTTGGGGTACATATATGCATAAACACAGACTCCCAAAGACCGGAGGCCAGGGAGGAGGGAATTCTGTCAAAGTACACACAAATAGCGATCGTTAAGAATAATGTAACAGACGCCACAATCACTCACCTGTCACATGTCCCGCTTTTGAGCTTCCGCGAGAGGCATTATGGGAGGGTAACCGACAGGGAGGAAAGGTACTGAGAGTCTAACCTCGCAGGTTAGCATAATGAGAACGCATAGTGCTTAACGTAAACAAACCCCACCCACCTTATGGTCTATTAGAGAGCACCGAGGGGGGAAAAACACTCACTACCACCATAATCTCCTCCAGAGAATCGAAGGAGGTTATACACCCAGCAGCGACATATCAATAAAACACAGTATTGAAAGCAGCGCCAACTAAACCAGATAACCAAGACTCACTCGGTCAGGGTGGCAGGACACTGTCCACTGGAGAGAACAGAACGGCCAAAGCGCGCACGATCACGTGAATGTGTATCGAGCTGATAGTGCCTGATAAAAGTGCTAGGCCGGCTCCAAATAGCGGCAGAGCATATCTCTTCAATGGGTAGTGCCGATGCAAAAGCTTTTGACGTGGCTACTGCCCTGACCGAGTGAGCCTTCAACCCCTCAGGGGGAGGCTTGCCCTTAGCCTGATAGGCAGCACAAATGACCGATACAAGCCAGCGAGACAGGGTCTGTTTGCTCGCCGGCACCCCAGCCTTCCCGCCACCGTAACAGCAGAACAGATGGGTACCCGTACGGATCCCTTGTGTTCGTTTGATATAGACCTTGAGAGTCTTTCGGACATCCAACGGGTGAGTGCTCGTAGGAGAGGTCCCCGATGTGGAAGGCTGGGTAAGAGTAGGAAGTTCGATAGGAGCTGTCACATGGAAAGCGTGATCGACCTTCGGCGTAAGTATCCGGGAGGCTTAATACTGACACGATCTGTGTGGAACACAGTCAGCCGGTCGGACGACATAGCATGTAAGTCGCCAACCCTACTTCCAGATGTTACCGCCACCAGAAATACAGCCTTCCATGTTAACAACTGAATGGAAATAGCCGATAGACGGAGAACGTAGGACCGACAGCCAATCTAGCACAATTGACAAATCCCAAGGTGGGCTGGTTCGCCTGACAGCAGGTCGAACCCGATCCGCGCCAGCTAAAAAGCTGCCAGACGAGAGGGTGCTGCCCCAGAAGAGCACCATCGACAGGTGTGAAAGGTGGAAATAGCGTGGAGTAGCCATTAATGGTCGAAGCCGCCAGGCCTTCTTCCAAACGAGCTTGCAAAACTCCAATACTCGGACTAAATCCGCAGAAAAGGGATCTGCAATCCCCCTATCTGAACACCAGCCGCATAGCGGACCACCTATCCTCATACTGAACGCTTTGTCGAATCCCTACCAAAGCCAGAATTGTGTCTGCAACTGCTGCAGGAATTCCGCGATGCTTCGAGGCTAGACCTGACAGAGGCCAAGCCACCCACTGAATCCTTGATTGGGGTATGGCGCTACCGCTCTGAGTGAGAATGTCCGTCGCAAAGGTAATAGAACAGGAGGCTGAGCCAGAAACCTGAGAATTACCGAAACCAGCTCTGTGGACGGCCAAAGCGGTGCCAGTAGCACAAGCAGCCGAGCTGGCTGGGTGGACAGCTGGGAGAGGACCCGGGAATGAGTGGTAACGGGCGGAACGCCCAGAGCACTTTGCCCGGCCCAATCCAGCAGGAAGGCATCGGCAGCCAACGCCCTCGGTCCGGGTATTCGAGAGCAGAACACGGGTATCTGATTCGTCCCCGCCGACGCAAACAGATCCACCTGGAACGCATCCGCATAACTGGGAGATAACTCCAATATCTGCCGGTCGAAAGCATCCACTGCAAGGGCCAGGATCCGCGAGAGAGCGCCTGCTCGCACGCTCTCCAGCCCCGGAGATAAACAGGGAGTACCTGACAGTCGCGACTGGTCGCACCAGAGGAGAAAGTCCCACGCCTCCCCGAAGGAGCTTAGGGACACCGTGTCGCCTTTGCTTCAGGATGTACGCCATGGCCGCTCGGGTTGTCCAACTGAAGACGAACCACCTGGCCCTGACATGCTCTCGAAGCCAAAACCAACCGCGACAGCTCTCAGTTCCAACACGCTGATGTGAAGGCGGGCTTCGCTTCGACCAGAGTCCGACACCGACAGACTGCCCAGAAACACCCCCAGCCCGTGAGGGACGATCGGGTCTGAACTGTAAGAGCTGGCGCCGGATTTCCAAAGGGACCCCTTGGAGAGATTCCCGACATTGGTCCACCACTGAAGGTGAGGAGACAACCACCCGGGACTGTGAGACTCGGCCCAGGTCCTCCGAAAGTGAGCCCACAGACTCGCCAAAGCTTGCTGTATAGGGCGATCCTCAACCGCGCTCGCCACACTACAGAGATAGTCGCCGCCATATGGCCCAGTAGACGGAGCCAAGTCCGTGCTGGTGCCTGGGGCTGGGAGAGGAACGAAGACACCATCTCCGTGACTCTGGTGACCCGGTCGGGCTTACAAGGAAACAAGATCCTTGTGAGTTTGGAACCTCACCGAGAAAACCAAGTCCTGGGTGGGTACCAGGTCGGATTTCTTGAGGTTGATGATCCACCCCAGTCGAACTAGAATGTCTATCACTGTGTGAGTAGAATCTAGGCTCGCTGGCTGAGTTAGCAGCTGAGCAACCAGTCGCCGAGGTAAGGGTAACAACGCCTTCCTTGGCGATCGAAGTAATTTGAGGGTAGCTGGCACTAACATGAGCTTGGTGAACACCCTGGGGCAGTGGATATGCCGGAAGGGGAGCACCGCGGAATTGGTAATTCATCCCGCCGTAAGAGAACCGGAGGTACTGCTTGAACGATGGATGTATGGGCACATGTAGATACGCGATCCTTTAGGTCGATTGACGGAGCCAATCGCCGGGCTGAACAGAGGAGATCACCGAATTAAGTGTCTCCATCTTGAAGGATGGAACCTCTAGCATGCGATTCAACCCCTTGAGGTTGAGAATGGGACGGAACCCGCCGCGTTCTTCTTCGAACGAGGAAGTACGTGGAATAAAATCCCGCCTGTTCCTCGCCCGGTGGTATGCTCTATAGCGGACTTGTCCAGCAAAGCCTGAACTTCGTCTCGCAGTATATCCGCCCTGACCTGACATGACGGCACCGGAGTGCGACGTATGCCGGTGAAGTCTGGCGGGCCTCGCTTCCACAGTGGTAGATGGCCGACACTGACGGTGGAAAGCACCCAAGTGTTGCTGGTAGCCTTCTCCCACCGCAGGAATAGAGAGAGGCGGCCCCCACTGGGACGCGGTGGTAAGAGAGCGGAGTGGTCCCGAGTAGCTGAGCTGACTGGGACGGACCCACGGCGACAGCCTGTTGGGTTAACGGGAGGTCGGGGCAGACCTCCCGCGCCCGCGAAAAGGCTGGGAGCCAGACGAAGAGGACTGCTCCTTGCCCTTACCCTTGGCGGGACGGCTCCTCCGCCTACCCCTGCCCAGCGGCCGAAGCCAGCCGGCAGACTCGGGTGTAGGCTGCACCCCGGAGGAGGAAGCCGGAACGGAGCGCGGGGGCGAGAAGCCCGCTGGGTGCTCCAACAAGGCCTTAGAATCCTTGAAGGAGGTAGCTGCAGCGGCAGCCTCCCGTATGACCTGCTGTGCCCCAGGAAACAACGTCGCTCCCAGACGGTAGGGAAGGGCCAGCAAGGTCTGCTGTGTAGCTGCCGAGCAGTAACAGACGCCGACAGCCACAGCTTGTGCGATCCCCATGACTGGCGCGACATCACCGTAGACGCCGCCGACCAACCGCAAGGAGTCGCGCTAGGTGGGCCTGAACTTCGAAAGTTGGACGGAGGAGAACGACACGCGGAGAAACGCCCCAGCAGGCCCTCAGCCTCCAGGGCCGACCTCTGAATCGAGGAGAGGTAGGCCCTCGTGGATGACCACCCGCACCTGCTGCATAGCATTCGTAAACCTCCTCGTAGGTCCTGGTAAGCTTGCTGCAGGGGATGCCGCCAGGGCAAAAGGTGGCACTAAACGCCTTTGCCTGGCAGCCGAGCTGCACCGAGGAAGCCGAGCCTCCCCAGGGCCACCGGGCGCAAACACACACTCATCGCACCACTGGCACAAAAGAACAGGGAATCGCCCCCAGCTGGTACCTCTTGACAAGC